CGGGGCGGGGGCTCCGGGGGGACCATGCCCCGAGGCCGGCCGACCGCAGCATGGCTCACGGGCCCGGCGCGCTGATGCTCAAGTGCGTGGTGGTCGGCGACGGGGCGGTGGGCAAGACGTGCCTGCTCATGAGCTATGCCAACGACGCCTTCCCCGAGGAGTACGTGCCCACTGTCTTCGACCACTACGCAGGTAAGCCTCTGTCCTGCTGACTAAGGGGCTGATCCCCGGCCGGGAACTTTGGAGCAACTTTGGCTGAGCCCCCCTGGCTGCCTCCCCTGAGCGTGCTCCCCTCCCCCGCCGCGCCCTCTGCCTGGCGGCCCCACCTCCCGAGACCGTGCCTCTGGTCACCCCTCGAAGCAACTTCCACCCCTTCCCTGTCTTCCCCTCGCCCCTTCTCCCACACTTCTCAGTCCCCTGAGCGCCCTCCTTGACCTTCCCACGGTCGCTTCCCTTTACTGCCCCAAGCCCCTGTGTGGAAGACGTTTAGGGACACTAGGGTAGACGTGGCTATGGGTCTTGGGAGAAGAGGGGTGGATAGCAGGGGTCCAAGATTCCACCTAGCTCTCACGCCGCTTGGCAGTGAGCTGGACACACAAAAAAGGGGGTGTTCTCTCCCAGGGGGCACCCACACGCCTGCCAGTGATTTGGGAAAGGAGGGTCCCGTGGGAAACGAAATTGCTCGACCTCAGGTCATTGTGAGTCTCTCCCCACCCCCCACTTCTGTCCTTGCAGTCAGCGTCACCGTGGGGGGCAAGCAGTACCTCCTGGGACTCTATGACACAGCTGGACAGGTGAGTGTCTTGGCCTCTGGCCGGTTCCTTTAACCCCCAACCTTTCGCCCATTCTGTGTGACCGTGAGGGGCCTTTAGACACTGAGGTGTCTAGGTGGGAGGGTGTGTCTTCCAGCGGCTCCTTCAGGATCAGGTTTTTTCTTAAGTCAGCAAATTAAGGAAACAAACCAAAAAGAAAACGCAGACCAGCGTGAGCCCCCGGGATGTGAAAGTTTTTGGACTGTTTGCGTTACGTGTGTTGCCTGGTGTGTGGGTCCCAACTCCTGTTGCAAAGTGGCGGCGGCCAATGGTGAAGCGCTCTTATTTTTAGTTGCTGATGACCAGGTCTCCCCCTCACAGCCTCTGTCTGGTCCCTCATTGGTGAGTGGTCTGCCTGCCCGAGGAGCCTGATTGGTGGGAAATGGCATCATCTAACATGATGGGAAGGCATTTGGTTCTGGTTATGTTTATTACAACATCATTGCACTCTGGGACTCCAGTCCCTGAAAACGTAATTTGTGGTGTTAGCAGAGGACCACAGGGAAAAAGGAAAGAAACGGCAACCATCAGCCACTCCCTGGGGTGCGGGGTGGCTAGGGTTAAGAGTTCAGCGTGAGTCTTGGAGGAAGAGCTTTCTTCCCCCTGGAGGGCCAGGTGACTGTTTTCTTTGGAGAGGTTATTGTGCAGAAAGGAACACTTCTCCCTTCGGCCTCTGGCGAGGGTTTGCAGACGAGCCAGGCTGTTCTCCTTGAAGGATTAAGGCGTTCTCTCTCTCTCCCTGACCCAGCTCTCCCGCCTGGCCAGACCCACTTTCTTTCCGCTGGGGCTAAGGCGATGAAGTTTTGCAGAATTCAGCTCTGCTGGTTGGCCTGAAGTCTCAGGGAGAAGTTTCTGTGTAGTGTGCAGACTTGAGGACCCTGAGGACATGTGAGCCAGTGAAGGACTAAGAGAAGCTCTGGGGCAGTCCTGCCATTGGGCTTCTTTATTTGTGAACAGGAGCTTTAAAAAAAAAGAAAGAAAGAGGGAAGGAAGGAAGGAAGGAAGGAAGGAAGGAAGGAAGGAAGGAAGGAAGGAAGGAAGGAAGGGAAAGAAAGACCATTGCAGATATTAATTATAAGCCAAATATGTGTTGTTTGTTTAGATTTGCCTTTCAGAATTGTATGTTCTCAAATTCTGTTGAAGTCTAGAAATATGGTTTTTTTTTTTTGGGGGGGGGGGAATGGGGAGGGACTTGATGTGGCCCTGATTTCTAAACCGTTGTTGGAACATCTGAGGATGAGGAACTGCTGGCGGTTCAAAGGTCCAGAGGACACTCTCTGTCATCGAAGGTGCCCAGGCCAGTAGAGCCAGGTCTGATTCACAGATTTGGGGGCCTGGTTTGGTTCTTCCTTCAATGGCCCCCACCTTCACCAGTTATGAAAGGCAAAGAGTGGAACCCAGCCAGATACCACCAACTTGTTTGTTTGTTTTCCGAGACAGGGTTTCTCTGTGTAGTTTTGGAGCCTGTCCTGGAACTCACTCTGTAGACCAGGCTGGCCTCGAACTCACAGAGATCTGCCTGCCTCTGCTTCCCGAGTGCTGGAATTTAAGGCGTGTGCCACCACGGCCCGGCCCCACCAACTTTTAAGTTGTGCTCTTGAGAGATAAGAAGTTGACATTGGTTGAAAAGAGAGGTTTTTTTTTGGGGGGGGGGTTCTAATTCAACTTTTCATGCTACCTCATTTCATTATTGCAATGATGGTGTGTTTTTAATCATGCACCTTGTTAAGCAGGATGTGTGAATGTCTGAAGTCTGTTAAGACAGAGGTCCAGTTACGATTTAACCATATGCCCATGTGTGTGCATCTCAGATCTTGCAGCTCACAAGAGCTTGCCGCTGAGATGAAGACCAATGCATCACTTCAATTTGAGGTCCTGGGACGTGTTGAGATGCCCCCGGGTCGGCCAGGTTGTTTGTGTGCATAGAGTATTACAGTCATTCTCTTGGTGGTAGTAGACAGGGTGGGGGTGGGGAGGATCTGTGCCACCTGATGGTAGGCAATGGTGGTTTTTCACCCACTGACTAATACTTTTGAATTGGGGTTAAAGTTATCGATAATTCACTCCATTGATAACAAGCTAATTTAGCCATTATCAGACAATGTAGTAGGGCCGTTGTATCATGCTAAGCATGGAGGGTGTATGTACAAAAGAAAACATTTAAGTTAGAGACCCGCCACTGCTGGTGTGAGTGTATGTAAGAGTCAGATCAAGTGATTGTTCATGCATCTTAGGTAGATTTCTGTATTGATTGTTAAGACTTTATATCTCCATGAATAGCTATCAGATTCCTTTTATGATACTAATAGTGGTAAAATAAATACATACACATACATGCATATACTTAACCTGTTGAGATTTTTTCAGCCAGATAGACAATCGAGGAGAGCCTGTGGGCTTCGGGACCAAAAAAAGGTCTTAGGTTCAGATTTCTACCTTGTGTGTAACTCCAGCTGAGTGATTTGCTTTCTCTGTAATAGTAAAATGTAGATAATTAGCATCTACAGTGCAGAGCTGTAGGCTGCCTTAAATTCATTAACCTTTGCAAAAACAGTTGGCATCCACAGTTCTTTGTATATAGTAGGCGTGCAAATGGTATTACAAGAAATCACTGTGCTCTGCTGTGGGCAGGGTAATGGGGGGGGGGTGGTCACAAGTAGAAGAGGACACATGTGTCATGCCTAAAGTCAATAGATTCTAGTAGAGGGCCGGATCTTAGCAGCCTTAGCCGATGTGTGGAGCCGGAGAAATCATTTCGGGTTCTGTGCAGCAGGTGAGAAGCAAGGGGCGTAGGTAGGTTTCTGTTGGATCTTTTTTTCCAGAGACAGAGGATGAGGAGGGAGATCATAGCCCTGGAAAGCACTTGCCTTCTCTCCAAACTGTTTGCTCATGTGTGGGGGTGCTTGGCATGCCTACCTAAAGAAATGCAGCAATGTCTCCCGCAGGTTGGCGCCTCTAGTCCACTTTTTACTCATGGCCTCCTTGAGACCCCAGTCAAGTCCAAAGCCATAAACATCATTTGCCCAGTTGACATATTAGGAGTCTACCAGTCAGGGGAGGGTGGTTAGGTGGTGACGTCACTTTGGCCTTCTTGAGCAGGCCGCTGTCTGCTTGACCTTTGCTGGGACTAGCAGAGAAGAAGGAGAGCACAAGAGTGTGCTGGACATCAGTCCCCACCACGTGCTTCGTCTAGGGACATCTCTCAGTGCTCCGCTCGCTCACAAGTATTGCCGCCAAAGGGAAATCCCCTGCCCTGCTTGGCTGCGCCCCAGGGTGGTCCTAGGACAGCTTGCCATTTTGACTGCCGAGGCACCTTCCTCTACCCTGGGGGCCTGAATTTCAGGGAGGTCTGGCTTTCTGCCTGTCTGTCCCTGTGGAACTTCTCCTTTTGTGCCTGGCTTTGGGCTGTCGGTGTAGACTCTGCATTAGCCCTCTGCCTGCCCTGGGAAGGGATTAGAAAGGTGAGGTTGTCCCCACTGCCTCTACTCTTGGGAATGGAAGGAAGCAGCGGGGAGCTTTCCCTCTGCCCAAATGAGCCAGTGGGGATCTGCTTGGCAGGGCTGCGCTCTAGCTCCGGGCTCCGGGCCTGATCTCTTAATCCTTGGCAGGAAGGCAGAACTTGGTGCTCTGAAGAGGGAAACACTGAAATCCAGTTTATCCCAGGTCACAGAGTGCCGACTCTCGGGAGGGTGTGTGGTGGGGTGAGTTTGGGATCCCTGAAGTTGTGGAGTCCGCCACTGTCCCTGTGTCCAAGTTCATATGTATGCTTTAGGTACATCGTTGCTATATCTGGCAACTTAGGCGTCCGAGTTCAGGGTTGCATACATGAGAGCTATAAATAACCTTACTCCAGTGCCCCCCCCCCCGCCTGGGGGGGGCAGCTTTTCAATGACAAATGAGATTTGCTTCACACTTGTCATAACCCAGCAGCTGTAGCTGGTCCCCCCCTCCCCCACTACCACCCGGGAGCTCTCTGGGTACCCAGGGAGGCACTTCCTCCAACAAAGGGAACATCGCTGAAGGCAGCAGACGCGAGGTCCCTCCTCTCTTCTGCATTTCATGGGGCAGCACCCAAGAACTAGCAATGATGGGAAGGGAAGGGCAAGGGTACTGCCAGCCAACATGTCTCGTGCCTCCCATCTTCAGGCAGGGCTTGTTCGCCGCACCTTCCCAGGTAGACTTTTCCCAGAGAGGAAACAGCAAGCGAGTGAGTGGATGGGAAGAGATACGTGAGTCAGGAAAAAAAGAAAAACCCAAAAAGCAACAAAGCACATTTTCTTCAGTGCAAGTGTGCATTGCCCAGAAGTAGGTAGGAAATGGTCACTCACCGCCCCCAGGCTTCAGGTTCCCTTAGCCCCACCCCACGTTCCATCCTTGAGGGAGTGGGGTGCGAGAGGAGCCTTGAGGAGGCTCTTTCTAGATAGGAGCTGCAACAGGTGAGATGTGGCACTGAGCATCTGGTTTCCCTTGGTAACCCACTGTAGATTTCTTGTCTGCATTTTGCTAACCTTTGTAGAAGCTATTTATATCCCAGGCTGCAGCTGTATTCACACAGGCATGGTGGTTTCCTCCTCCGTGTTGAGAAGGTAGGTGGCCTCTGTCCATTCATAAGTTGTTGCAGTTTAAAAGACAGTGTGCTGTCCTGTGGCGGACTGGTGGTCTGTTTCGGCTCCAGCTTGGGTTGGCAGGCAAGAACTTGGGGTGGGGGCAGTGCCTGATTGTGCCACAGATGTCCTTCAACCTTTCTGGGCCCTTTGATGGACTTCCAACATGGTTCTCCTGAGGTCTGGTGACATTTCCAGTCTTAACTAATGTTTCCTGACTGGTATGCTAAGCCTGAGTGCTATAGACACACCAAGATGCTGCCTTGTCAGCCTTGGGGAGCTGGGGGGAAGGGGGAGGGTCTCGGGGGGCTGAGCATGTATTGTTGTGTGTGCCGTGATAGGACCACAGAACTGTGTTTGGGGCGGGGGTTGCAGTCC